AGTCATTTTATAATATTGATCTCTGCCAAAATCAGCTAGGTTGCTTTATATCAGCTAGCATGTACATGCACTTGCACAATCACATCATCATTGGCGGTCATGTATTACAGTCAAACCTGTCTATAGCGACCGCCCAAGGGAAACGCAAAAAGTGGCCTTTAATTTTAGACAGGTTCCTCAAGTACATGATTCAATGAGAAACCATTTTCGAGGAAAACAACAAATGTGGTCTTTGTAGACAGGTGGTCTTTGAAGACAGGTTCCTTAAGTAAATGATTCAATGAGAAACCATTTTCAAGGGAAACAACAAATGTGGTCTTTGTAGACAGGTGGTCTTTGTAGACAGGTTCCTTAAGCACATGATTCAATGAGAAACCATTTTCAAGGGAAACAACAAATGTGGTCTTTGTAGACAGGTGGTCTTTGTAGACAAGTTCCTTAAGTACATGATTCAATGAGAAACCATTTTCGAGGGAAACAACAAATGTGGTCTTTGTAGACAGGTGGTCACTAAAGCAGGTTCGACTGAAGCATTATATGATTCTCTCTCCCTATCTCTCCTACATACATGATCACATGTTCTGTACATACATGTGAAGGCCTAGTGCTTGGTCAAGGCTACACTGTAATATATATTTCCTGTCATTAAGTAGGCCTAGATTTATAGACCAGACAAATACAGACGATAAAAACAACTTGCGTTGGTCCCATTCTCAGTTTCTCGGGCCATTGACGTCATGATACCGGTACTCTGTATGAAACTGAAAGTGATTATATGTACATGTCAAACGAAAACGAGGCACCTGTAAAGCAAACCCAAATGACTTTGTAAGTTTGTATATACGTCTCTTTTACTTGGTTTGAAATGATAAGTACAAGTACGAGTACATTTCTGTTTCAGTCCAGAGCCTGGCCTACTCCATAGGCAATAAGCAAGGCCAATGATACAAGTACGCAGACTATATGCCTAAACATTAAGGCCTCCATGTTCAGAAATGTACATGTCTGTAGGCCTACATTCTTGCATATATATCAAATTGTAATTATTTTTCCTTATCTCTTTTCATGAAATGATTGTGACAGTACAGTTTATTCTTTATTTATAAAGTTTATACATGTACCTTCTCAGAAGTTTATTTATCAATCTACAGAGTAAAAGAGATTGATCAATAGAGTTTTAAGAAGATATTCTATCAAAAATAAACCATAAATGTATGGTCACAACCATTCATGAAAAGAGGTATAAAGAAAAATTATTCCAACTTAAAGTTCATGAGCAACAGTGTACCCTACTGTAAATATAGGCCCCTACATGAATATACCTTACTTTCTGGAAATCTGTTTTTCAGCTTCAAGATGAAACACTGTGTGCATCTCTGAACAAATGGAGAAGAAAAAAAATCACCACCAAATGATATAGCATGACAGGTTGGGGGGGGGGGGGGTCAAGTCAATGGTCCCAAAGCGCTTTGATGACCTTTCAGAGCTGGCCTTCTTCGCCCTATGACCATGGACCTGCTATGACCAAATAAAATCCTTGGGGAGAACACATTCTCCTATTTGACGTCATTCTGAGCATGACCTCCCAGGAACCGTTTCATGCAAAGGTCACCTACCAACCAAGGAAGCTTGCAATGGTAGGATGTAGTCTGACAGTACAGGCTCAATTTTGACACAATGCAAACATCTAAATGTATTAATGAGCAATATATTCACCGCCAAAAGAGGCAAAGTGAGAGTGGATGCCGGCAGTGCTTCCAATGAACAATTTATTGACAAAAATACACTAATGGAGCATTAAATAAGACATCCTTCAGCAAACGCTAGTCACCATCAGGGGGTATTTTTCAATATTCTCTACTTCACAATCTCACAATTGACTGATTGCATAATAACTTTGTCAGTCTATGGCTGTTTTTAACTTCAGGAGCAGCTAATTTGGAGAGAATTCTTCATGATGTCACTATTGAGACCCACTCTTACAGTTTCACGCCAGACAAGGGTTTTGTTACTGTACAAGATGAAAATACAAACTCTTTCAGTAGGTGCCTGTACCTTTGAATGTTTTTAACCAGAAACATGTCACCAATTATATTATGTAGGCCCTATAAAAATATGTACCGTTCATGTAAATGCTAATCATTAACTAAGGACATGGTAGATGTTGGAGTGCATCATGGCTACCGTAGTCTAAATTCCGGACCTTCCATGACTCATATAAATCCAAGATGGCCGCCCACATTCTTCACATGGCCGTTGAACTAACATTCCAGCATGGTCAAGTTCGGATCGTACATGCACCCAGCCTGTGGCATCACGGTCTGTCACGATCATTCACACAGCCATGTGAGACACTATACAGTCTGAATGTTGGCCATTCTCACGGGGTTCGCTCGGTGAGCAATACTTGGGCCAACATGTAACTACTGTATACGGTCTGCAGACCTACAATGAGACATTTCCATTGCAACTATAGTTGTAACGATGACCAACTATATATTCCAATCATGTACTTTATGAAATAAAACAACAGGTATGGAATAAAATGACAGGCATTTGAGCTTTTTCCAACATACACTTCTCTAGATATAAACCATACCTTGTAGGTACAATATCATTCTATCCCGAAGGCTTTGGTATCTAATCTCAAAGTCTAAAATACAAACTTTTGGGGGGACTTTGGCTTTGGAAGTCGGATATCAAACTCATGCCCAATGGAGTAATGGCCACATGCAACGTACAGACTGGTACAGGTAGTTCATTGTAGTGACTGGGCATACATGTATATTAATTACATTCCCAGGGTATATGTATATTTCTCTGGTAAAGCAATCAGAAATGAACCTGAATGATTTGATTTTGAACCGACCTAAATCATGCTGGTAAACATTACGTGTACTTGCAGGTACGCATTGTTTAATGACGTGTAATGTTTGCACCCCTCCACCACCTCCACCCCCTCCACCCCCACAAAAAAAGTATGAATAGGGAGGTATTCCTCAAGTGCACCACAGGATTGATGTGTACGAGACATAGTACACTGCATAAGATAATTATGTGCTTCAAAAATACATGTATTGTATCAACACCTCCCATTCCCATTTTCCATGTACACTGGGCCACATCAAAATATATACCAGAGGCTTGCAAACATACATGTCACATGTAAAGTGTGTATGATGACTATGAAGAAATATAGTCCAATTTCTGTCACTTCCATCTTTTCTCATTTTGATCAACATGAGAATTAACCATGCTTGGAAAGCTATAATATACAACCACTCCCCTTTCCCAGGTAAACCATTTATCAAAATATTTATCTATAGGGGATACCTCTGAGCTTACAATCCTGGATCAATATTACCGGTAAGCATTGCATGGCCGAACTCACAGCCTAACAAGTTCCTGGTAAACTGGACAATACTGGACAATAGATCAATGTCCAGTGAATCATTCAGCTGCAATCTAGGGGGTCAGTTAGGAGGGTCAGTCAATGGTCAGCTATTGTCCGGGCTTGACGTGGATTGCTGGTTTAAACGAGGCCTGAAAAGCTCAGCTGGGGAGATGATCTAGGAGCAAGGAGATCGCTACTCAGCCAGAAAAGAAAAGAGACCAACATCCTTAGGAGATATACATTGATCACAACAAGTGAAGGTGAAGAAATGGTCAGTAGTGGTCAACAAATGGTCTAAAAAACAATATTTGCCAAACCCTCATTTTGGTCCTTTGGTACTTCTACTCAACAAAAATATCCATTGACAGAATATTTATTGACAAATAGAATTATCGATATATTCTTGATATATATATATATATATATATATATAGGATTATATGTACAACTGCATTCCTAAACTTTAAAGATAAAGATAAATTTGAAGAAAAAAATAGAGAGTGGGGGGTGTGAGAGGGGTGAGAGAGAGTGAGAGAGAGGGGATGAGAGAGTGAGAGAGAGGGGATGAGAGAGAGAGAGAGAGAGAGAGAGAGAGAGGGGATGAGAGGGGAGAATGGAGAGACAGAGAGAGAAATATACAACAATATTGTAGAGATGGATTAGATTGAGAGAGATGAGTCTGAGAGTAGAGAAGGGAGAGACACAGAGAGAGACAGAGAGAGAAATATATATTTATCTAAACTTAAAGAGAGAGAGAGGGGGGGGGTTGAGAGGGAAAGAGACAAAGAAAGAGATACTAAGGCAAAGAGAAGGGGACTTCCCTACTGCCACATGTACATGTATTGTAAATGTAGTAATGTACCTCACTGTGGAAAGGAAACTGCATACATACTAAACTAATACTGTTACAAGTAAAGGCCAACAATAATAATCAAATTGTGATTTTGCAATATATATTCCATATCAACTATTATGAAATGTTGTGCCATATTACCATGCATCCTGCATGGGCTGAGCTGAGGAAGTCCCATTCATAAGTTGATGGGGAATATTATAATTTCACGACACTACCATTTGTGGTATACACATGGCCTGGTATACACATGGCCTGGCATACGCACAGGATATGACTGCATTACATACACATTTGTGAAACCGACATGTCAGCTAATTTTATATTTTTAAAGTAAATTGTTGTTTCCTCACTTTTTCCCCAACACGTCATACTAATAAGTAAGTTAGTTACTTTCAATGTTTATTTTTCTAGTTGCTTTTGTAATTGGATAACGATTTTGTATGTCGCAATATCAATGTCCATGTTTTTTATGATGCTATGTGTCGGAGGCTCGGAGCAGTGCAAAAATAATTAATTACATACAGAATGGGAGGTAATATATTAACTGCATAATATTGTCTTACTATTGGTGGTGTGCATGTGGTAATGATGGCCGATGTCAAATTCAAAACATGATCAATTTTTTTTCTTCAGACCCTCTACCTCAAAATTTTGATCACACAACAACGTCACATCCGGAGCCTATATAATACAAGATTCTGAACATTTCCATGGATAATACACATGCAATTACCAATTCATTGTCCTCACCTGAGATTTAGTTATACGATGTTTTGCCAATTTCACCACTGCAAAGTTGCCCTTGCCGATGGTACGGTCTATATCGTAAAACCCTACGCGTATGTGGCCGCGTCGAGGTTTGGCCTGTGTAGGGGTATCCGCCTTCTCCTCCATAACGACCATCTTCGACCTCAGAGTCTCTCCAAACGGCAGGCAAAATCCGGGCTCGAAAAGGCTCCAAAATGCTGCACAAGTCGTATATTCCTAGACAGACATGACTTAGAAATGCTCATCATGCTCCGTGTAAAATCCAGAGAAGAATAAAATTGTCCTTGTTGGTGGAAATGGACAAATGGTTTCATGTGATTTTCGCGTTCCCCTGTGCTTTGTTGCTGCGATTCACTTCGTTGAACCCAATTTTCATTGATGTCAAAAGTGTGTGCGTTTCGTGTCGGAGAGAACGAAAAAGGTTCTTCGCTATCTTGTTATCTCGCTCATTTTGGTAAATGCTCAAATTCAACTTCAAATTCGTACCATTAGGTCTATTCAGCGTTGCGATGGATGAATAAACTATTTAATTCCATGCTTAATAATGTCCAATTCACGTTGAGCAATCAATGACGAAGAGATGCATCCAACCATAGATAGTACAGGAATATATATATTTCACGTTTTTGGTATTCTAAATGCGGTTTCTCCAAAAGAGAAAGATGTAGCAACCCTGAAGTTCTATTCTTACACCGTTGTACTAAAGAAAAACAAGTTTCAAGATAAAAAGTTACAGATACAAAGCCAAATTCACAGTTTTTCCGCTAGGACCAGCCCAGCGAATGAAGTACATCAATATATCCCGTAGATATGCTATTTCACATCATATATTATGAATGCGTGTGTGTGTCGGCGGTGTGTGTGCATGCCCGGGTATTGCCTATTCATTAAATTTGTGTGTGAATGTATAGTACGAGTGCGTACGTCAAAATGTATGACGTCATTCTAGCTCGAAGTCCTGTCCTTCTGTCTCTGTCTCTCTCCCTCTCATGTTCTCCTTCTCTCTCTCTTTTCCCTTCCTGTCACACAATCTCTCTCTCGCTATCACTCCGTCCTACTCGCAACTCACACCACTAGAATAACGTGTGTGTGTGTCAAAAAGTGTGTTCTTTAATTTCTACCTCTCTTCCTCTCAAACTCTCTCTCTCTTCAGTCTCTTTGCTTGTCTCTCAATATGTCTCCCACCTATCTCCCTCTTTCTTTATACCCTCCACCCCTCCTACATTTGACATTCATTATCAATCTACCACTTGGGACATTTTTTTTCTCCTATCCTTCCTTTTCTCCTTTTTTCATAAATTATCTTCGTGAATGTTTCGCAGCTCTCTGCACAATCCGGCCACCAAAGGCGGAGCTTCGCGTGGCGCGCCCTATTAGTCGCCATGGCAACGGGTCGACGTATGACGCAAGTCGCTGCCTGGGAAACGGAGTAATGATGTGTAAGAGATCGGGATAGGAATAAATCGCTCGCGTATTCACCGATTTCAGTGCGTTACGAATGCAAGAAAACATACGACAAACCAGCCCCGTTAGGACATAATGAATTACACAACGTTGAATATTGTTATTATAATTTTCTCAGCCTAAGTGAGATTCTAGCTCTGGAATGAAGGAATGCAAACGTGAATGGGATGGATGTTTGCTACCTAATCTTACAAGTTTATAACCACAGCACAAAACACAAGTTGTGATATTAAAACACTCGAAATTAATGACTTAATTTAGTACCAACTGAATCGTTTTTTGTGAGGTGACTGATATCAGGTAAAATGCTCAAAATGTGTTAATTCGGTGTCAACGAATTGATCCTGTACCTCTCAAATCATACCAAACTCAGCGGGTTCCCTGTCATTTCCGCGTTACATAATACTTCCCCGGGTTCTTCTCAATAAATATCGTATACCCCCCCCCCCCTCCCCACCTAGTAATCTAAAAGCTTAAAATGTTCAACTAACGTGACGTCGATACAGGGGGCACTGAGTGCATGTGTCCGCAATGAGAGATGGAAAAGAAAAATTGAGAAAGGAGAGGGAAGAAAAAGGGAATGAAGGAAAAGAAGACCCTTCCATGGATGGATACCTCCTGCACCATTAATTCTCCTCAGGAGCCTTGTACATCCCCATTTCATCATCATAAGCAGCATGATCATCATCATAATCAGGAAAAGAAGAAGAAGAGAACAAATTAAAAGAAGAAGTGGAAGAAGAAGAAGATATTAAAGGGATAATTCTGGATTTAGCTCATGCTGCAATGATAATTATAAACCTGTAGGTCAGTCAGGAACCCCATGACTTTTACAAGCCCATCGCCTGTCTGATTATCAAGATATTTATGACTGAAATTATAAATTTTGTACAGTTTATTGGGGAAAACGAGTATGGTAAAACCGGTCACTCAAAGACTTTTACTTTTTTGAGGCACTTCTTGATCATTTTGAAGCGCAATTTTTGTAGGGCTTCTATATAACTCCATAATCACAGACACTGATAACACGTATAGGGCCGTGCATCTCATAATAATTATTTAACATTGTTAAACGATGCCTTTAAAGGAGAAAGAAGAGGGCCAGAAAGAAGGAGAATGAGAATAGCGAATGACATGAAAAATTATTGTATGCCCAAGGTTAACTTAAAATTATGATTGACTACATCGCATATGCATGTAATATAATGACATCATCATAACTGTTATCGAATAAGGAAATAATCTGGGCCTACTGCTATTTGCTTTCGGGTTACTCAAAGTCCATTCTAACAATTTTTTATTATTGGAAGTTGGGGAGCATTCTTGCATTGCACGGAACTCTGTTTGCTTTGCTGTTTACGTCATAAGCCAGTTGGCATTCTGGGAAAGCAAAATTTGGGAAATAGATTCCCTTTCCAGCATAGGATCAGTTTAGAAACACCTTTACTTATTTAATGATCAACACTAACTCATATCTATTTCTTCGCACGTCAGTCAATGGTATGCTGGGATTATGACGAACTATTTTTGAAATGTTTGTTTATCATCAGTGCTGTACGTTACTGTTGGAGACATTGGTTGTTGCTATGTCAGGTGGTAGTGGACAATGTTTTCGGTCGTCAAGGCTAACTTTAGTTTGAAACTTTAAGAGGCATCATTGCCCAGCTTGTGCCGAAAACGTCTTTAATACGGGGCGATAGTAGATTATTGTCAGATGTTAGGGGATGAGTGTATAAGGAACATTCCCCCCCCCCCCTTTCTCTCTCTCTCTCTCTCTCTCTCTCTCTCTCTCTCTCTCTCTCTCTCCTCTCTCCCTCTCTCTCTCTCTCTCTCTCTCCCTTCCTCTCTCTTGCGTTTTCTCACCGTATGAGAACAGGCAAGCAAGCAAACAGACAATCATCTTAAGACAATACTTTGTTTCTGTCTGCTTGTCTCGAGTCTGAAGTATAACGCCCTCTCTAGGAATTATCCGTAACTATGTCTATGAAACTGGCTTCAAATTTGCATTTCGGTGACAGTAATTTTTCCCTGTCTTTCTATATGTGTTAAACATGTAGATTTAATCCTGATTCATCTTCATTAATAGAATATCCAGACATTATTTACCGAACTATTGTTTCGATAATAGCAATCGCTACACGATTCGTTATATCGTGAAAATATTAAAGGTCCTCTCTGATTTTGCGTTGGTTTTAGGCGGCAAAAAATAATGACAAGCCCGGCGCGGTTTACCTTCGACCTAGTTTTAACGATCGAATTACCTCGCTCGGAATGTAAATGAATATGGCCGACAGCGTCCTGATTGCACATTAATTTTTCCAATTTGCCAATAATCACGCCCCAAGGCATTACGAAACACAATCAACACGCGCAATAAGGAGATAATTCGCCCTATAGTTGTGGTTGTGACGTCATCATTGTCTGGGGACAATTGTCTTATTATTATTGTGCTACGGTTGTAAACCTGTAAACATCTGATGAAGATCAAATATTAAAGCCTGGTGGCAAGTACTGAGCTCTTCATCGTCGTAATCGTTTTCGAATTTTTCTTTGTCCTTTTCTAGTTCTCGTTCTTCTTTGACTTCGATCTTCTTTTCTCATTGCGTCTTGCCTTTCTAATCTTTACCCCAAATTAAAGACACATGGAAATCCGACAAACTCTCTTAATCTTAACTTCTATTTTCTTCTTTTACTTTTTCTCCTTCTTCCTCTTCTTCTTCTCCATCTACTTCAACTTTTTTCTTTTTCTTGCGCCTTTTTTCTTCCTTCTTCTTCTTCTTCTTCTTCTTCTTTCTCTTTTCCTCTACTTCTTCCTATTCTTTCGTTTCTCTTGTTTTCCTTCTTCTTCGAGTTCTTCTGGTTCTTCTCGTTCTTCACCTTCTTCCTTTTCTTGTTTTTACGTTTTCTATTTCGTTTTATTTTCATCTTCTTCTTCTCGTACTGTTCTAAGTATTGCTTGTCGGAAGTGTTTTTTGTTTTGTTCTTTGGAATTATGCCTCTTACAGAAACATTGCTTTGCCCCTTGACAAATAATTATGGTAGCTTGAGTGGCAATTATTAAAGGGACTCGGCAACATTGTTCAGATGAAAGAAAGTGGTGCTAAGGTAGTGACTTCAATGCTAGATGTACAATTAAAGATAATATGAAGTTTGACTGAAAACAGACCATTGTTAATTATAACAATCGGGGAAAACTGATCTGATCGATTCTTTAATTCTCCCAACTACATTATTACAATTTAATCACATGTTAGGTGAATGTAAATCGTACAAATCAATGAATTGGCTCTATATACTATTCCAAAACATTTCAGTGTGGATTTTTTAAAGCTTGTCTTATGTCTTTTTTTCATGGAAAAACCGTTGGAAAAATTCAAAAATGGTTGGGAGAATTTACTTTTAGAGGGTGTCGCACAGTAACGCCTTCAAAGAAAAACATAAATATCTTTGTTGTTTGAGAATTTGTTCAGGATTTTTTGAAAGTTAGAGGGGTAGTTCAGTAGAAGGAATATAATAAGTAACATTTCATATAAACATTACGCATTTTTTCATCAACCTTCAACAATGTTACCGAGTCACTTTAAAGGGTTTTCTTATTTATGCAATGTCTCTTTATCTGCCTCTAGGGGGTAAAGGCCTTTTAAAGAGCCCCCACAGTTCAATAAAGTTTGATGACCGTCTACGGGATATCCTATACACGTTGAAATACGCCTTCTATCGATAAGGAAGGCTTATCCCATTGTTATCTCATATACGTCGCTCTCTTTGAGCATACCCAAAACCGATCCCAAATCAATGTCCAAAAAACAAGTCTTATCGAATACACGTATTGCTTTCCTTGCTCTTTTTATAGCTCTCAATCGTTGATTTTCCCCCATTGTGATAAGTATGCCTGTGCATGACGTCACTGTCTTGCAAACGTTAGCAACACCTTCAATAGTGATTAATCAAAAGTACGTTTCGATTACGTCACACTAATCTACTATGACGAAGACAACTCGAGATATTTTGTTTGTGTTGAAAATTCTGTCATTTTGATCGATAGGACTGAGAATCGGAGGAATTCACGTCGATAGCCAGCTGTCCAAGTACCACTATTACGTTGAACAGATCCTATGTACAGTACTGTAGTATACACATTTATGAGTTGAACGTCCCCGAATACACTCTACGCTGATTGGTTGAAAGTTGAAGAGCATCCGGGTACGTAGGACAACGCGCAATTTGCGTATTCATTCGAGACATAGTCTGTGTCAGATCATAAAGCTGAAACCGAGATGGAAAAACAAGGTGACTTACGTCATATTTTGACGTTGTATTTGACGTATTTGCCATTATTGTATTGTTTAGTGGAATGTATCCTTATTGTGTGAAGTTGCCCTCCCCCCCCCCCCCCCTCCCCACGCACTTGTCGTCTGCAGACACGAATTGGCATTAAGCTCGGGCGTAATCATCTCTTTCTCTGAGGATTACCAGGGGGAGGGGGCATAACGGTTCTTCGAATTACACTGGTACGTGGTACGA